CTCTGTGGGTCCGTGCACCCAAACTCTGTGAACCCTCAGGTTCTAACTCTGTGAACCTTCCGGTTCTAACTCTGTAAACATGCACAGCATCAAACACATAGAAGTAATGCAGTACAACACATAACATACATAGCATACAAATACTCTATCACATAACTCTGGTTACCTACTCAAGGTAAAGTATAGTGAGAAGACTCACCTCGCGTGTCTCGGTAAATCGTAAACCTGAAATCGCTAATCACTCGACCTGTCGAGCTGTCGTCCCCCTATAGCACAATACACCTCTAATTAACACTTTCCCACTGGGTTGACCACACTATAACAAGTCAATCTAGGTCAACGCTGGTCAACGGTCAACGGTCAACTTTGACCGACTCGGCGAAGCGACTCGGCGAGTCTGGGCGTGTACACCAATTTCCCTGGCCTCCCTAGACTCGGCGACTCGGCGAGTCTGGGCGTGTACACCAATTTCCCTGGAATCCTCCCTTGACACGTCGAGCATTCCCTCAACTCGACGAGTTCCACCTGGCACGAGTTGTGGGGCCACCATAACTCAACTCGCCGAGTCTCAAGAACAACTCGGCGAGTCCAGTTAGACTCAGTCCACCTGTCCATTCTGACTCCCCCTTGACTCACTGAGTCCACTTTCCCAACTCGGCGAGGCCACTCACAGAGTGGTCGGGCAACATTCATGCTACTCGCCGAGTCTGTTCTTCGGACTCGGCGAGTCCATGCCATGCACTGACTCAATCTTGCTCTAAAGGTCAGATCCAGTTCATTAATCCATAGATCCAGTCCCTCCAAGCTCATTTAGCACGTAAAGTTACAATCTTGATGCACATACAACCTTTATATGACCATATATGATGTTTATGACTCAAATACTACAACACAAGGCCAAAGACTCTATTGTCACTCATAAAGCTTGATGAGTGAGGCTCTCTGGACCTCTATGGATCCAGATCCATGGCCTCAACTCAAAGAGGGAACCAATGGGCATCAAATCATCCCATAAATGACCACCACAAGCCCTAAATTGCATCATGCTTCACTAAACAGAAAATGGTCCGAGATAATACCTCTAGAGTGATGATCTAAGCTCCAAATCCACGAAATAGCAACCTCCTTTGCTTCCTCTTGCCTAGGGTCTCCTTCTTCTTGCTAGATAACACACACAAGATCAAGAATGGCTCCTTTCTCTTCACAAATAGCTCAAGAACACAAGGGTCACTCACTGAGGGTTGGGTGAGCACAAATGACGGCCATAAGGCCCTTTAAATAGGCCTCAAACCCGGAGATTTAGGGTTTCATTACACAGCGCAGACTCGCCGATTCCATATCCTGGACTCGCCGAGTCCAGGCGCGCACCAATGTTCAATTCCGCGTCTCTACTCGGCGAGTCTGAGCTCCAACTTGCCGAGTCCCTCTCACAATATGACAAAATTAGATTTACAAGATACCTGGTAAAATCCGGATGTTACAATTTGAGACTTTCGATATTCGGGTAATAAACATCCCATTGCTAATACAACCAAAAGTATGAAAGTGCACTACAAAATCCATCACGCATTTCTCAAGAACATCATAGTGTCATTTAATAAAAAAATCATCCTTGATATTTTTACACCACCATACTACCACACGGCTTCTTTAACTTCCCAGAAGGTGAAAGGGAGCTCAAGCAAACTCACAAGATCCAAAGACATGCTTTGAGACTGTGAACTTCTGATGCTCGGAATAAAATTCTCAAATTTCAAAAAATTTATGTTTTCTCTATATGTTGTTTTTCTTTTCTATCTTTTTACTACTTAATGAGATTTTGATAGTTCAAAAAACAACTAACACCATTTTGTAAATGTTAATGGTAAATCGAAAAGTTGATTTTAATGTTTGGTGACTTATTAAATGGGAAAATGAATTATAAGTCAAACGAAGTTACCAAACAATTCAAAAAACCACATTTATGTTTTCGCTGTTCAAGAAAATCCAACGAACTTAACATTTTGTCTAAAAATGCCCAACTAACTTACACTTCTCATTTAGGGTCAACCGGCTAATGAAATTCAACGAATGACAAGGCTTATGACGTGTAATTTAATATCGGAAAATGACTTGTAAGACCAACAAAGTTCAAAACTGTTCACTAAACCCCATTCATGTTTATTTGTTGAAAAAAAACTCAACGAACTTACGCTTTTGTTAAATTCTCATTAGAGGTAAGCAGATTCATTATGTATACAGCTAGTTGGAAAATGACATGACATTATATTTAATTACATGGAATAAATAGATTAGAACTGCCCTTTATATACCGGTTTAGGGCTTGGAGAAGAGAAAAACAAACGATGTCTATGTTCGATATCTTGTAATATCTACTTATTCTTCTTCTTCCTCTCAATCGTTGGTGTCCAACTCAAGATCCTCAAAGAAGATATTTGACGATGTAACTTCTTGTAGATGTAGACGCCTTTCTCGGATTTGGACATCTAGAATGGAGGAGCATCCATAGATAATGTTTAGGGCTTGTTCGAATAGATGGGTAAGTGTAATTGAAAGCTTTATCATGTCCATTTTAATAAGTATTTTTATTTGAAAGAAACCACTACTAGAAAAACAGCCTTTTACGACGCTCATTGCGCTTCGTAAAAGGCTCAGACGACGCGCAAATGCGCGTCAAGGAAGGCCCTGTCATAAAGAGAGACGACGCGCATTTACGACGCTCATTTACGACGCGCAATTACGACGCGCGTTTATGACACACAATGCGTATCAAGGAAGGCCCTGTCATGAAGGAAGACGACACGCATTCACGTGTCGTAACCTTACGACGCGCGTGTTAATGACACGCAATGCGTATCAAGAAATCCCCTGTCAAGAAAGGCCATGTCATAAATGAAGATGACACACATTCTTGCGTATCATAATTTTAAATGTTAAAAAAAATATTATTTATAGATTTACTTATTTTCAAATTAAAATTTTATTTAATGTTTCATAATAGAAAATAAAATATCATATACAAAAAATAGAATCCATTGCATAAATTTAATGTCATACAAATAATCATTCCATGGAAAGATAAAACAAATCAATAGAAGTTGTAACAAAAATTTATAAACCAATTAGATACAAAAAGTACAATACATTGTCCTTTTGCTTATTCAAGATAAACCTGCAAGTAGCTAACTAATCTGTACAAATTCACCCTTGTTTCTAATCATTTTCTTAAATACGTTACAAACATAATTCATCCATAGTACATGAACTATAGTTGCAGCCTTGTTTCTTCTTCTTCTTCTGAACTCATCTCTTGCAACCGCCGCTCTAAGCCTAGTCTGAACAGATACAAGCTCCTTAAAAAACATAGTTGATTTGCTCATTGGTTCCACAAGAATAAGAAACAATAATCACAAACCCAATATAGCCCATGCAAATTGTGTTCTAGTAACTTCTAGGCTTCTAGCAAGTTTTTTATGAATGTCAGCCATGTCACTCAAAACACCCAATTCAATATCCTTCAGGTACCTGCATCAGAAACAAACTCCATAAAATGAAACACATTCTTTTTTGTAGAACAACACTATATTAAAATAAAAACCATATAGACCAAACAGAATAGGCCCAAACAACCATCAAAACAACTCCAGGGGTAAAAATGTCATAAAATGGCAAAAGACAATAGGGTGCCATGTATGAACTGGGAAATAAACTCATCATTGAGAGCACCAGCAACAGCTATCCCAACAAAATAGAAGATGTCAGTATAGTATCCCCCATTACATGTTTGATCTAACAGAACATAATCCATAAATAACTTTGTTTACTGTAACTACAGATGCAACAACAGATAAAAGATTTGACTCAAGAACGTGATCTTGCTCGAACTCGCCTTGAGGAAATACTAAGAGCAGCTGGAATTGATCAGAGTTTACTTCCATGGGTATATTTGTTTTTTTCTTTTGACATTTAAAATACTTAGAATGTATTCTGTTATATGATGTAGAACGAATCTCGGCCCTTACGTACTGGTTCATGGGACGGGCGTTTGCCATCATAAGACACATCCCTCAATGCTCCAATCACGGCATATAACAAGGAGGAATTAAACATCCCAAATGAAGACTCCTACTTTTTTGATAGAATCTGTTCGAAGTCAGTTCATGGATCGATATTTACCCAAACCATCCCACGAATGGGAGAAATCAAGGTCAAAAGGCAACTGCAAAGAACTAGAGTGTATCCAGAATGATCAGGGGGAACAATCTTCTCGCTCTTCGGGTTCTTCAGCTGTGGACAAAACTTATTCAAGAACTGCAAGTTTGACAAGAAGCACGAGCTGCAGTGCAGTTATTGAAGAGATGACTCCTGAAGACAACGTGGTGGCTGAAAGTATGGTTACCAAGGAAGTTGAAGGGGATGCTTCCGGAAGAAGTCTTCAATCCAAATCAGAATCAGATATCAAATCTTCGTGCAGACAAGATTCTAATGAGAAAGGCATGAAGCAGATTGTGGGGAGTGGGGGTGTTTTTATATATTCTCCAACCAGAACACTTAAAGAAGTCATGAGGGATGATCTTAAAGAAGATTACATCAGTTACATGGTAAGGAAACAATAGTTGTTGATTCATGAGTCATGAGTCATGAGTCTGTTGTTATTGATTTGGTTATGATATCAGGTGGAGACACCTCGAGCCATTGGATCAGCAAAAGAAGATAATGACTGGGATTTGTTGTTTGAGGAGCAAAGAAGGAAGATAATAAAATTGTGGGATGAATGCAACATTCCATTGATTCACAGGACCTACCTTTTCTTGCTCATCCAAGGCGGTCCATCTGATTCCGTCTACATCGAGATCGAGCTCCGCCGACTATCCTTCCTCCAGAAAGCAGTACATCACACCTCAAGGTTTGCTTACACATATGAATCATAATACTTGCATTTCATTTGTTTACTCATACTCATCTTTGTTTGTTTGTTTGTTTGTTGATGGGTAATAAAATCACAAGGGTAATGGATTTGGAGAGGGCGATGCTAAGCAGGAAACTACTGAGGAAATACTCAGCAAAGGAAAGGGAAGGCCTTTTTCTACCAGACCACCTGCAGAAAGAAGCATTCCAACACATGATTTTGATCCTCTTGCCACTGCCACATGCAAAGGAATGGTTTTTTGCAAATTCCTTATGTTCACATCAACTCCAGCATAAGGAATAATCTGTTCAAACATAACAGCACTTAATGGTCCAACCAATTCAACTCATTCATGCCTTTCAGTACATAAAATGTCAACAGACTTGAGGAAATTGATGGAAGAATAAATAAATAAATAAATAAATAAATAAACTTAATAAATAAATAAACTTACTTTAACTAACTCCAAATCATTAGTCATAGCAGCAGTATGCAGAGTTGTACCTCCATGTTGCGTGTCTTGAGCAGTAGCTTCAGCTCCAACAACAAGAAGAATTTGTACAAGTCCTCTACCATCTACAACATAATTAAATAATTATATATATATATATATATATATATATGGTAATAAACAACATAATTAAATAAATATATATAAAAAATACCTTGTCTTGGCTGAACATGTTTATATCTTCGACAATGAAGATGAGGTCAAATCTTGAAAGAATTGTAGTATGTAAGTCAATGTTATCTTGTGCAGTTTTGAGATCATCATAACAACCTGATGGAGGGTTTGTTGCAGCTAATACAGAAGTCCTGGAATTCAGAATTGTTGTTATTCCTGCTTTGGTTATGGATATTGTTTTTTGTTCCATGGCTTCATGTATGGCAGCCCTAATATGGAAGGGTGTTGTAGAATATTTGTATAAAAAAAAGTAAAAAGATAAGAAAGTTACAGTGTTGTTATCACAAATGACAGAAGCAGTAAGCCCAGCTGCAGATGAGCCTTTCCTGGAAGTGTATACAACTATAGGAGCAGTACGTACCTAACCTTGTCAAAAACAAAAATGTAATTTACTCAAATCCATATTTTTTTAACTAACATTGTCTTGTAACCATTGCATTCAAAGAGAACTAAGTTTATCATCAAAAAGGCTACACCTAATTGACTGGCCAATAGTGGAATGTATTCTATATGTGCAACACCATTCATAATATGAAATAATAATTATAATAAGTTTCGTGGTGTACGAAGGTGTAATTAAGCATTACATATACAAAAAGTAAAAACCAAACCTGCAGAGCAACAAGCAATATCTTGTGTTTTTTTCTTTGTTTATTTCCACTTCTTCACAAAACACCATTCATTCAAATCAAAACTTAACCAACAAAAACCAAAACCAAAAGAAATCAAATCTCCACACTCACATCACTGTCCACTCTCGTTCGATTCCTACAATTAAAATGATCAGGATGATGATGATTGAGGATATTTACATCTTTTCTGCACATACAAGAGAGAGAGAGAGAGAGAGAGAGAGATTACAAGGTAAATGGAGTAGGGTGTGGGTGTTAACGAGGTAACCTCTTATGGCTGAGAATCTCCTTGAGGTGATGATGGAACCTGCTGAGGCGGGCTTAGAGGCTCACAAGATTTGTTGCTTTGCTTGACAACATACAACTTAACTGAGTCACGTAGTTGTTGATAAGGCTTCCTGGTTTATTAGCTTCTGCCATCAGTTTCATTTCCCGATTTCCAGCAAGGCTATTATGAATTGAACCCTAACATAAAACTCTTACCAAACAAGTTCAGGATGCCAGCGACGGGAAGGAAGAAAAGGATGTTCACAAGGATAAAGAAGGTCTGACGCCGGCGAGGGTGGAAGAAGCAGTGGCGACGGCGGCGAGGAGAAGGAAGACCGACCGCAGCAAGGAGAAGGAAGACCGATCGCAGCGACGGGAAGGGAGTCAGTGATGTCTTTAACCAGAGTATCTGAAGAGCTTGTATCTTCATGGAAAATAAAGCGATTGACAGGCAAAATTCCAAGAAACATGTGAAGATCGAGCAAGAACAAACTCAGCAATCAAGTAAAAACAAAAGAACTCACTAATTGGGAAAGAGATAAATCTTGAAGCTCTTACCATATGAAGATATAGAAAAGATGATTGAAGAGGTCGATTGGGCAGATTTATAAGATCGCTTGTGGTAGGGAGGCAATGAATGGATGAAACAAGCCCTAACAAATCCAGGCGCAAATCCAGGCGAGAGGGATGAGATGGAAATACGAGAGTGGGATAGAAAAAATTAGGGTCGAATTTAGGAACCCTAAATCATCGGCTCAAATTGATAACTGGGAGGTAAGAACCCTAAATCCTCAGCTCATTAGGGTCGAATTAAGAGTGTAAGAGTTTGTTGGAACCAAGAATTAGGTTTTTGGTGGAGGTTATGGATCGAGGAATTGAGGAAGTTGTGGATGAAGATGAAGGCCCTAATTCGAAGAGGCGGGCAATTTTTGGGATAAATAGGCGTGGTTAATTTTTTGGATTTCATTTTTCCCCCTAAAAACGCGTGTTTCCTAAAAAAAATATAAAGCGACACAGTTACACGACGCACAGTTTTTGATAGGTGCCCTCCGTATTTTTTTTTCTAACACAAATTTAAGGGCACGCCAAAAATGGGTGTCTTCTATCCTTCAAATTTTGGAAAACTGACATTAATTTTTAGGGCACGCACAAATGCGCACCCTTTATCCGTGTGTGTCATTAATTGCGCGTCGTAAAAGGCTATTTTTCTAGTAGTGAACCAAACAAATAAATAAAATATGAACATGATAATGCTTTCAATTACACTTACTCATATGTTCGAACAAGCCTTGGACTTTTTTCTCTAGATGATCCTTCGTTCTAGATGTCCAAATCCAAGACGGGTGTCCACATCTAGAAGGGTATTCATCATCAAATATCTTCTTTGTAGATCTTGAGTTGGACATCATCAACGATGGAGATGAAGAATAAGAAATACCTATTACAAGAGATGGAACACAGACGTTTGTTTTCCAAGCCCTAAATCGGTATATAAAGGGAAATTCTAAAATGTTTATTCCATGTCATTAAATATAATGCCATATCATTTACTAACTAGTTGTATACGTAATGAATCTGGTTGCCTCTAATGAGAACTAAACAAAACTGTAAGTTCATTGGGTTTTATTCTACAAACAAAATATGGTTGAGGTTTTTTGAACAGTTTTGAAACTTCGTTGGTCTTACAAGTTAATTTTCGATATTCATGTCATTCGTTGACTTCCATTAGCCGGTTGACACTAAATGAGAAGTGAATGAAAGTTTAAGTTAGTTGAGCTTTTTTAGACAAAAAGTTAGTTCATTGGGTTTTCTTGAATAGACAAAACATAAATAAATTTTTTAAACGGCTTGAAATCTTCATTTAACTTATAAGTCATTTTCCCTTATTAAATTGGTTTTCATGTTCGGCCTTTTATTTTAATAAGATTAATTAAGTTATTAATAATGTATCTATATCGTTAGAATCATATTAATTACATTATATTTACATTATCACAATCGTTGTATATGGTTATGCTAGGTGATTTAATTAACATTGGTGATATATGATGTAATTAATGTAAGTATAAAAATATAAAAATATAAAAGTATAAATGATAAATCACTTAATTAGTTGATATTTAAGTTAATCAAAGAATAAAAGTATGAATATTTTTTTATTTAGTTTTCTGATACAGACGTGCTAACTATGGTTTTTATGTAGATCATCTAGAAGAACAACCTACACTTAGGTGCGTCCAAAGGTTCCATTGAATTATCATCAAAATGCTAAAACTAGTACTTAAATAGTTAGATATATAATATATGCAATAGGCATAATGGATTAAGAATAGTCAACTAGATTCGATCCGAAATCATTTGGTCAAAATTTTGAACTTTTTATTTGTAATAAAAATTTATTGACTTTCTATTTGTGGAAAAATAATATTGACTTTTTATAAATTGCTTGACGAGAATGTCTAACAAATTTCTTGAGATTATGATAAGAACACTAAAACTAATGACTTGTTATCATAGTAATTTTAGATTCAAACTTTACAATTTGCAAAGTAGAATTATAAGATCGAAGTTAGTCTAAAACTAAAAGGAGATGTAGCAACTATTGGTTAAACATTGGCCTTCGTTATCACTAACCTTTGATCATGCATGCACATTTCTCAAATTTGATCTATAAAAGGGTTTTTATAAAAATTGGGTTCTCTCTATTTACTTCGTAAAAAACGGTCTTTTAGAATTCTTTAGTGGTCCCATTAATTTCATAATCAATCAATTTCGTAATCAAGTAAACGTATTTAACTCCTTTAAGGTTCCAGTTTCCACCCTTTAACATGTATATATAATGTATTTTCATTAATTATCAAATATTATATATGACTATGATTTTTGTGTCATTTGGACATTTTGTGTAATTGAAACTTAAATGTGAGCTTAGAGGGTTCGTAATTTGTACTCTAATATATGTTTGGGTATTTGTGGAGTCCATGCATATATGAGATTAAATTAGAAGTAGGTTCGACGACAACTCGATCGAGGTCCAGGGGCAGCTCCCCTGGGTTCGGAGTTTCTAAAGCGGCAGTGCCCCTTTATCAAGGTCTAGGGGCAGCGCCCCTAGCAGGGTCTAAGGGACAGAGCCCCTGGCTAGGGCCCCACTCTATCAGAGGCAGCGCCCCAAAAGGTCTTCAAATTTTACAAATGGCTATATAGTGGAAAATTCAAATTTTTGATGGTGATTATGGTTAAACTGACTCATATCATCAATTTTGGAAACCAATGATTTCCTCATTAATGCCAAATTCCCTTGACTAGTTTCCAAAGGAACCCATGACGGCCAACCCTAAAACAAAACCTTACATATTGTTTTCTTTATGAATGAATCTCTTTTTAAGGAGTAGAGGTCACCTTTAAGCTCTCGTTTTCTTTTTCTTCATATGAGCTCAGAACACTCTAGCAATTTGGCTTACATTTTCTGTGCCTAGATTCGTAAGTGTCCCCTTGGGATTATCCTAGGATGAGTTTCTTGTAACGCTGACATAGGGTAGAAATATTAGTTCGAAAAAGTGTTTACATGATCCAAGGGGTATTCAGATCTTCACTATAAACCCTACCCAATTTCTAACAATCGAATCGATATCTTCTGTTTCTGGAGATAGACGAATCAATCCGTGAGATGACCATAAAGTTTGCAAAACTAGAGAAGTTTGAAGGCGTCGATTTCTGGTGCTGGAAGAAGAAGATGCACTTAATGCTTACCATTCTGAAAGCATCATACGTGCTGACTACTCGAATACCACCTGAAGTAGAGGAAGGTGTTGATGAGACACTTGAAGAGACCAGGAAAAAGAAAATTTTGGACAACGATGATTACATCTGCAAAGGTCACATCTTGAACGGTATGTTTGATGCTCGATTTGATATCCATGGTGATGTTTTAACTGCTAAGGAATTTGTAGGATACCCTTGAATTGAAATTCATCACTGAGGGCACTTCTAGTAAAAAAGGTTTCTGGTTAGTGACTTCAATAACTTTAAGATGGTTGATTCAAGGTCTGTCACCGAATAATACAATTAACTCTTTGGTATGTATGGTCAATTTAAACTGTAAAATATGAAAATGGATGAATTCGTTGTTGTGTCAAGTGTAATTGGAAAACTTCCACCATCATGGAAGGATTTCAAATATAACCTAAAACATCAAAAGGAGGAACTATCATTGGTTCAACTTTCTAGTCATATTCGTATTGAAGAATCTCTTTGTACGAAGGAAATTGACTAATCTGATAAAACCAAAGGGGAAGTTGAATCTGGAAAGCACTTTATTCATATGGTTGAAAATAAAGCCAGGAACCTGAACCATAAAGGACATGAAAAACGTAATCCGGAACATGTCCCACATAACTCTAATAAAAAGAAAAACGAAGTGGTTTTTTGGAGATGCAACAAGGTGGGGCATTGCAAGCATGATTGTCGTGTGAACTTAGGCAACAATAATAGCAATAATGGTGTTGGAAACAATGGAGCCAATGGAAGTGTGAACGGGTCTTTGGGCCATGTTAAAGAAGGTCAGTTTTTGAGTAATTTTGATAATTCTAATCAGACTTATGTTTAGTATGTAATACCCGCGTTTCTAGCTAAGCCTTATTATGATGATGTAATAGTTACGGTCAACAATTGTAACTTGTTTTGACGTAACGAAGAAGAATTATTTGAGTATTATCTGATTTATGTGCAATATACATGCTTATAACGATATAATAAATAATAAAAATAATATGCATAAAAAATAGAATAATAGATAGACCCAATATCTATGAAGAAAGTTGAAGTATTCGTAACAAGCATTTCGAGGATATAGGGAACGCTGAAATCCGACTTATAACGAAGAAGTTATGACCTATCGAAGTTTTGTGACAAAACCGACATGACACTAGATATCGTAAAAAGTGAATTTTTGATAAACTACTTTTTAGCCTTAGTAATCTAAATGAAAGTCGTAGTATACGTTAAACCGAGAACATACATAAAAAGAACGTCAAAATTTGACTTCGTTTGAGGAAGTTATGATTTTTCTAAGATTTAGCGTAGTAGTACACAACCCAGGAATCGAATTTTTGATCGATCAGTTTTTAAACGACACAACCTAAATGAGAATTGAAGATCTCTTTCAAAGGAGCCCAACGATATGAAGACAGTCGGAATCTAACATCGGATGACAAAGTCATGAATTTTTAACGGACTTTAACTGCTTAAGCCTATTAAAATATAACTTTAACAACAAACTTAAAATTAGTCGAAAGAGTCTAAATGAAACTTGTAGATCCATTCGATACCTTTGTGTTGATATAAAGAACGTAAAAACGGAGCTCGTATGCGAAAGTTATAGATTTTAGAAGATAATTAGTTTTTGCAGTAACCGTCAAGTGACACATGGCTCGATCTGAGCCACTGCTTCCTCCCCACGCCTTGCCACCAG